TGATTGTGTGTTTGGAGGTGTAGAGACCTCAGGATACTTGTGATAGGCTAGCACTTCTCACACCCATCGTTTTCTTCACACCTCAGGACTTTAAATAAAGTTAATTAAACTTTGTAGTTCTAAGGTATTGAAGCATAATTGTGAAGGCAGCAAAACAGTCACAAAAAATTAACGGTTAAAGCTAATGTGGTTAGATCCGACATGAAATATGTACAACTGCCTATCTCACCTTTCCTTGGCCTTCGCGGAATCTCAATGGCCCTCGAAACAGCAATCGTCGGGGAACTGTGCGTCGTAGTCCTGACGGTACATTCGCTGACCGGATGCGATCCAAGATTGTTGGAGCCAGTTTGGTGGTACTGTAGCCTTTCGGTGGAATCCATCTTGACAAATACACTGGCAACGCTTCGGGTTCCACGTCAATGGAAGAAATGCTTTTCAGTGAGCTGATTCGTCTAACGCGATCCTTCGGAGCTCCCGAAAAGTCCGACAAATTTAAAGTGCTCGATCTGAGTGGGGAGGTGACGCTCACTGGGTTGCAGGTGAAGAAATTCTCACCCATTGAAAATGGGGATGTTAAGTCACTGTAGTCCAGTGAAGGGCGAGATGGCTGACTTGCGACGCCAAGTTCTACTTCCCCGAGGATATGGGAATCCTGGATCGCCCGGATATCACTCACTGTCAAGACCACTGGTGCAGGCAATTCAATGTCTTCTAGTAAAGAGGACCTAAGTGAAAACCGAATTATATGCGAATCCATTAGAATCGAGAATCAAAAGGCATGCATTATTATACTATTCTGCTCCGTTTTATTAGTTGACTAAAGCCTTTGAACTAAACCAATTTTTTCAATGAAGCAATTAGATTTATTGAGGCTGAAAACCCGTTTACTCCTCATCTCCTGCACTTCACTGCGCATCTTAAATATTTTTTCCTTTCGTTCTGGATGTTTGAATGCCGTGCGATGCACAAAATCCTGATTTCCTGATCTCCGATAGTGAACGACGCAAGACAAATAGGATATCTCTGCAGGTAATTCAAGGTAAAGATGGGGATAAATTTTTTCTATGAATTGCTGTTACCCTTAACGAGACCCATATGGCAGGAAACGAACTTATTTCCTCTCGATATAAAATGGCAACACAATATTTGTTTTACCTCCAGAGCCGTAAGTGTTTTCACCTTGTCTTCAAGTCACATAGGTACTGGTCGAGATAAGAAGTTGATTTCTTTACGCCCATTAGGTTGACAGAAATTCTTATAATCTTGCGTTTTCTTTTTTAGGCCAGCAAATAGACCCGGTCCCCAAATTCCCACAATATATTTGTACTTGAATAAATATAAGTAAACCTGCTTACTCATTGGTAAAGTAGGACGGCACAAACTAGACACTCGGCTGAATTTCAGTTGGATCTTTTGTTCAGCTGAGTGTGTTACGCAAAAGTACACTTCCAACTCATTTTGAAAGTTATTCACTAGGAAGAATAAAAATATCTCCGTTTTCATAAAGCAAACTACTCACAAGGTTGCTGAAAACTCTTCGACAGCTCACGACCGGTTTTGCTTTACTTGGGGCCCATCAGGTAGGCACAGTCCCCGAGTTTCCGTCAACCTTATGCTCTACTTGAACGGTCCTCTATAGATGACGAAAGGGTGATTTTCCTGCTCGCAGTTAACACTGTTCTTATATAAGAGACAGAAATGAACAAAGATGTTTGCTCACTGTATCCCACCTCCGGCCAATTAGTTTCACAGATTCATTCAGCTAAAGGTATTTTTACATGTAAACAAGCGAACCGCGATTGATTGGACTGGAAAATGAATGCTTCTGAAATTCGAAGCTGCACGTGACCTGGCGGTATTTTTGAGTAATTGGCCAAAGGCACCTAGAACAAAAGACGAAATACTAGCATTTGGGTTTTCCCCAGTCATATTATTCAGCTGGTGCGTCCAGCCGGATGATGGTCACGCTACTCTTACCCGCTTCAGTCACAAAAATAATCTCGGCTACTGTGTATGCCTGGAGCAAGAGTGATGACATCGGTCTAATGAGTTACAACTTCTTTGACCGTAAACAAGGTGAGGTATGCAGCGTCCTGTAGCTAACTAGGGAGCACGGACAAACCCTCAGACAAGTTATGGCAACCTATGTGTTATCGTTTATCAAGCTATTGTTAACATACTTCCACGATATACGGCAAAGCTATGCAATGCTGAATTCAGATCAGCCTTGTGAAGAGTCTACCAAACCAACATATGGTCGTGATAGCTCTATAGTTGCTCCAGCTTAGAAGGCAACGTCAAAGCCAACAGCGCCTAAGTATTTTGTCACTGAATGTTCGTTCGCCTCTTCGGGAGACAGTACATTTCGCTAAGTTATTTTCCAATAAGATCTTGAGGCATGGTTGGTCGCTTGCAAGGATAGTCCTAGCCAAGCCTAAGGAATATGCGTTCTTTAAGTGATAACCTCTGCTGATTACGTGTTGGAATCATGAATTAAAAGTTTAACGTACCTTCGGAAGTGATCATAGAAATACTGATATCCATCACCGGGATTCTCGTTGTAGTCTGGGAACATCAACTCGTCCACCAGCGCATCCATCTGTGCACGAGGTTCTGAAGGTTCCAGGTGACTGTCGATGGTTCGGACGAAGGCCTTCACTTGACTCAACTGAGGACAGAAGACATTTAGGAGAGCAAACAGATAATGAATCCTCCTTTTAGGTGGTGCGGTGCAAATGAGAAAATATCGAGCTTCCAACCAAGATTTCGCTGGTTTTAACTCACGTTCGATCTACTGAGTACCTCCGGCTGATTGTGTCGCATCCGTCATGCTCGCTCCGGTCTCCGCTTTGCCAGACAACAACACCAAATATTTTGACTTGGACCATAAACGTTCTCAATTATTCCTGGAAATGGTGGGTCTAAGAAGTTCCAAAACAATCACAAGCTTGGATGGGAGGGAAGCCTGACGTGGTGCAGATATAAGACTGACTAGTCGGGTTCAGTTTAGCCTTATTCTATGAACCGCAGCTAAACCTACTTACGTTACATGAACTGCGATCTAACAAACACCCTTAACAAACCTTAAACTTGTGTCCATAAACCTCGTCCAAGCCAAATGACCACTTTTACTTATTCTTACAAGTCGTTTGCATGGCCTGTACGTTTGTAAAGTTTCCTAATTTTGTCTAACAGTTCACTGAGAGTTTCATGTCATTCTTTATACGAGATATGATGATTCGTCCAACTTTTTAATATTTTTTTGTGTTATTCACGGCGTAAGAAAGTGATAGTCTTCCTAAAGTACCAGTCAGCGAGGTTGTCGAAGGGTTTCTTGTCATTTGCGAACAGGCATTTGGAGCGATCCAGAACCTTCATCAGCATACTAGAAACAGAGATGGTTCAAGTACCGAACGTGGCATAATCCTGCTAAAAGTCCGCCGGTAACCTGATGAAGGTGCATTGGCCATCACAAAGTGCCCCACTAAAGACCCTTAAATAATTTCGGAGGTGGGCGATAGAGTCCATACGACTGGAGTTTCCGGGGTATCAATCTCCGATTATTAGCAATAAGGGCTTTTTTGAAATTAAAGCACCAAACTTTCTAATTCCCGTTCCTAACCTGAGCATATGTTTTTTCAAACAGAATACAAATATGTACTGGTGAACAAAAGGCTTTAGGTCAAGGAAGAGGAGAACCTTTTGCGTATTCTTACGAACATCTTTGAGATTGCTGGGCAAATGTTTGAATCTAATATCCTTGTGGAGTAGAGACCGTTTTCTAGACAGGTGTTAGCTTCGCACGCTACAAAGACTGATCATGTGACCTTGTAAGGGAAGTGACTAGTATGTCTCATTGGTCTCAGCAATTTATTAGATCTAAATATGTACTGGTGAACAAAAGGCTTTAGGTCAAGGAAGAGGAGAACCTTTTGCGTATTCTTACGAACATCTTTGAGATTGCTGGGCAAATGTTTGAATCTAGTATCCTTGTGGAGTAGAGACCGTTTTCTAGACAGGTGTTAGCTTCGCACGCTACAAAGACTGATCATGTGACCTTGTAAGGGAAGTGACTAGTATGTCTCATTGGTCTCAGCAATTTATTAGGTCTATCATCTAGACCCGGCACTTTTCCTTTTTTTGCGCTTGCAAATCATGTTCCTCATCTTTGGTTGCGTGAAAAACACTTTGACGATTGGTGCGGCACTAATAACTGCGTGTAACGCTGGTCAACAGGACAGTGACAGTGCTTTCGCCTTGCTTCGCTTAGCTCCTAAGCAGAAACATAAGCTTCCCATCACATTGTCCATCCTCTCTATCTACGCCATAGTCTTTCGGTGTTCTTTGTCTATTCTGTAGAGAGGTATGGAAGCCGTTGTGGATCTTCTATTTTAGATCGTTTATAACTTATGTTGTAATTATTGGCATGCTGCACCTGATTTGGGGTACCCCTTCCTTCGTGTTGAAGGAAAGTCCTGCACCGGACACGGCTTGATTTACCTTAGTTAATCCAAGGTAGAGGATAACCACTCGATCGGATACTTTTAGTGCAAAACGGCTACCGACTGACGGAGTTCACACTCTCTTGTCTGATGAACAACCGTTCATAGCCGCTCCGATACTGTGATTGTGCTATGATTACGAAAAATGAATTCTGGACTTCGGAGGGGCTTTCCTTGAAATTTCCACTGGTTCGAATCATGGCTCAGGCCACTAGCCAATTAAAATTGTCGGAAACCCAGAGGTATGTGACTGTCCGGCGAGAACGCCCAAAGGTCTCATATTGAGTGAAACGCCTTGTTGGTAAGTGATCACAAACAAGAGGCTGCAACCTCGGACACTACCGGCTGGGCTAGTATAAGTCACCAGCTCGATGGTAGATTAACGTTCGCTAAAATAAACAGAATTAGACGGTGCAGCAATTATGCTGATGTTTTTACCCAGGTTCTTGGGGTTCATCAACTTTAGTTGAATTCATTTGTCCTCATTAACCTCGAAGATAACCGATGGATTTTTTAATCTATATCCACTGAACATTCATACTTAGCCTAGGAAAAAATTAACTTAGAGTAGTCTTATGGTTTCGTCAACACGAAAAATGAACCCCTATATTGATAAAACATTTTTGATATCCTCCACTTTGTAACATCAATCCTACCTTCTTAGCTTTTGCGTGTGTAAATAGTACTAGTGCAACGGTGGATACTGCTGATAGGAGCATGCGAGTAGTATGGTTTCTCGTTAATCCGCTTCGCGTCTCTAGAAAAGTGAAATATATTTCGGAATTTGTGGAGTCGCATTTGCTTGCATTTGAGTAACGAATATCCAGGAAAGTTCGGGCAGACGCGTTCGAGGAGGAGATGGATATTCAATTTTTGTAAACAAGATGTATATGAGTACCTCGCTCCCCTGTCCAATAGTCTCTAGTTGTTCGGTTGTCGTTTTCTAATACATAACTCCGCAGAGAAGGCTTTCTTCCTTTCCTTTGGTACAATGTTTCTGAAATAATGGGGAACAAACCCGTCTCCTCTTTTGTGTACCTGTATTCATCATTTAAAAAGGAAATATTCTTTGTCCGTTATAGAACGAGGTTTCGCTTAAAGACTCTCTCTTTACTACAATCATAGTGGTATGTAAGTCACTGAGGAGGGCTGGACAATCCAAGTCTGATAAACACTTCCTCCCTCCAGTTTGACTCGGTTTGCTCGTTTTCGAGCTCATCATTTTGGGAAATTGGCGTGCGAACGGATATGGAAACGTGAATATAAATCATTTCAGAAAGGAGCTTATCATTTCCAAATTCAGCTTGCGCGGTACCTGGCGTAAATCTAGCTTGTGTGAAGGTTGGAACATTGTCTATACTAGTGTAACGATGATACTACTGATGGGAGTGGCATGCGAGTACTATGTTTCCTCGTTAATCCGCTTTACGTCTCTTGGAAAGCGAGATCCATCACGTAATTCGTGGGGTCGCTCTGTAGCATTTGCTTGCAGTTGAGTAACAGTCAATGAATGTCCAGGAAAGTTCAGTAAGACGCGTTCAAAGAGAATATGGATATTAAGTTTTTGTAAACAAGATGCATATGAGAGTTTTGCTTCCCTTTCCAGTAGTCTGTAACTGTTCAGTTGGCATTTTCTAATAAATAACTCCGCAGCGAGGGCCTTCTTCCTTTCACCAATATGGAATTTTCGGGTTCTTATCAGTGGTCTTCGAGTCTCGCGAACGAGATATGCTGTCATGGTTAGAAGATATTAGTTTAACGATCTTGAGGACGGAGAGGGCAGCTTGAGAGAAGTGGACGAGAAGGGGATTTACACTGATTAACCTGCCACAGTTGGGTTCTCCTAACCATTAGTGACGAACTTGGTTCGCTGAATGTCCTGTGATAAGCCTGTCTGATGCTTTACTTGGGCCGCTATTCAGGACACAAGCGTTCTTTCCCTGATATGACATTATTTATAATGTCGTCACAGGTGGGGACCTCATTCGGTAGAGACTTCAGTCGTGTTCTTCTCACCAGAGTGATGTGTTACGCTGAATGCGACACGCATGATTCATTAGTACAAGAGAAGTCGTTGCTCGAGGAGCCAGTCAACACGTGTGACAGCGCGATGTGAACTCAGTGATTGAAGATGAACGGCATTATATCCAGTCTAAGTGCGAGCTAATCACACTGCTGATTAGCCACTCGTGGCTGAATGGTTAAGTGTTCAAACTACAAGCCACGAGGTGGCGGGTTCGAGACTCTTCGGAGTTTCGTGAGATGCGCACTGTTGATGATTCCCAATAAGGAAGCAACAGCTGTACAGTGCTTCTCGACTTTTCAGCATAGATTGGCTTCACTTACGGGACGAAATTTTCACCAAGTCTCCACAAATGTCACGCAGTACCACAAAAAGATACACATTTGGAGGGGGGAGAATTCAGCAGGTGTGACATTGAAATACTGAAATGCTCAACAATTCTGGTGATACTATGCAGCTTGTGCTCACTCGTGATGAAGACATCCACTGAATGAAGATAAACAGCTCGCTGGTAAATCCTCTGATGTCTCTTTACCATGTGACTCATTCGGATCAACAAGCAAACGGAATTCGTTCAAATGATGAATATCGATTTGTGTGGATACCCAGTTTGAATGGGCAGTGACAGCGCTTCTTACTTCATATCCTTTGGGCGCATTTTTTGGTGCCCAAAGTGGATTCGTATGCTCATGCTCGCACACTGTAAATAACGTGCATATTTAGGATTCCCCTTCCCCAATTCTATTGCCACAAGAGCTTATGTCTAGAACAAATAACCATCGTTTGGGAACTGGATTCGTCAAGATAAATCCAGATACTCATGGAACTCTTAAAAGCAAACAGTCCGGAGATTGCTCCTGACAATACAATTGACAGTGAAAATAAACCCAGATCTGATCAGTATACCAAAATATTGAAAACAGAGTTATATATACTTCGGTTCAGGTGGTTATATACTTACATCTTGCTACTCAACATTCTGGAGTTAATCTTAGTTGGGTAAGTATATCGCTCATAGAAAGAGACCACTCTGATGGCGTACCACTGACCTGGTGTTTAGTACTAACTTTTTCTCTCGGACAAATTCAGACGGAGAGAAGCCGTCTAGAGAAGTGTTATGATAGAAATTTTCTGTGAGAGGTTGTCTCGTTGGAGAGCTATGACGACTAAGGTTCTCGGATATTCTTGGGCCTTTCAACTGCTCGGTAATTAACAGTTTTCAGATGGCCGTATGTGACTCAGGTGGTTGGGTCTATAAGTACCTGAGTAATTTTCCGACAGCTCTGGTTCGAACCATAGGCTCATTCACATTGGTCGCATACCCACTGATGATCCGTACATAGGTTTCGGAAAAATGCTGCTCTACTGTGGCGTTTTGTACCTTCATTTTGCTTCCATTATAACAGTACGTAGTTCATCAATTGCATAGTCGTTTTTTGTTTGAATACGAAAAACTACAAAAACGCGCACTTGTACAATTTCACAGAATACAAGCGTGGTCACGTGCTTCGACTCTCTCTTCTGATTTCGCTTGCACTTGCAGCGGTCATTCGCGAGTCTCATGTGCCAACTCTGGTATCAAAACATTTCAGGCCATCTGCGGAATTTATTATATGTGGGAACTGCTCAGAAGACCTCTGGACCACCATAATTGGATTATTGTTTATTCGCTGACCTGGGCCAACGATGAACTATTGTAAAGAGGTTAATTGCTAGTGAGTCCGTTCCATCTGACCTCTTTATTATTGTATACTCAACCTAGCATTATCCTTTTTATTTCTTTGTCACACACCCCTGGTAAACTAACTTATTGGATGGCCAGACCACTACACTACTTTCTTAGACACATTAATTAATCAATTTCCTCGTAACATCCTTTCTTCCACTCCTGAATGCAAAGTGAAACCATTAGGTTGATTAAAAAAACTTACCATGCGACTTAAGCATTCCATCTCTTCGGGATCATCACAATATTGTTGTATGTTCTCGAGCATCAGTGGATATTTGGTGATACGCTTGAATGGCTTGGCCAACTGATCCCATAGAGATTCTCGCTGTTCCGGACAAGATTTATCAGCCCACTAAAAACAAGAGGAGGGCGACCATGAACTTACTTACTACGATGTCTATTCTATGGACTAGTGAGGAGTGCTGAAAAAGTCTATAACTGTCTTCAGAAGTCTCATTTGAGAGATGGTCTCTCTGGAGGAACTCATTTGCCACTTTAATGACGTATTGACTGGTTTTCTTCTCTGCAAGGTGTCTTACCACACTCTAAGATAGTATAATTCATTTTGAAAAAGAGGCATCTCCTGTACCGGACCAAATGGATAGCGGTCGCTGCTCATCCGAGATCCTGAAACACTATGGGCGGATATTGTAAACTACAGAATAACTTTATTGTTGAAGCGCTTATGTTCAACATCTTAATGATGTTCTAACGGGTTCCAATAAAACGAATTGGCGATGACCGCACCAGCCCCAGCCTGCCCGACTAGACAACTGAATGCACTCAGTGTGGCCCAACCTAGTTACCACCTAACAACAAAATACACGTGGATGGGTTGACACGGCAGTCGGAAGACAACGGCCATAACGACGGCACACCAACAGTACAGTGGCTTGAAATTGTTGGCCTTGCCAGCTAATGGACGTTCCTCACCAGCAACGACAACAAAGAAGCCCTATTTAGCCTGTACATAAAACTTATGACCATCCATCAGTGCGAACAGTTCAACCGCTACCTTTCTCAAAGGGAACTGAATGATCCTAGACTAAATCACCTGAAGCGACTGAAAAGCATGTGAGCAAATTTTCCGTTTACCGTTTTTGGGGTGTTTGCTGATTGTAAGAAACCTCTTCACTTGTAACTTTCCGGATAGCAGCAGATGTGTGACTGAAATCACTTTGGTATTAGCAAACGCACTCTTGTTAGTTCATTAACTGTGCATGGTCACGCCGTTCCTGGTGTCCCAGGCGTTACACGAACCATTTCAACTTATTTTGGGTGACCAGTGGCGCTGACTGTACCGATATTGCTAGTTTTGTGCCTGCCGTCAAGCAGTATCACTCAGAATGTGCAGTAATCGCAACCCAACTAGAATCGGAACACATCTCGATGGACTGCTTTCTATCTCCTACTTGGAAGGCGTTTTATGGTGCTTTACTGCATCGAATTCAAACGTTAGTGTCAGAAGTTAGTTCGAACTGGTTACCGAATGACGCCTGCTTAGCATGTTCATTTTAATGAATTGGTAGGTAAGGCGTAGGCTCAAAAGTGTACGAAAAAGCGACAAGGTCGATCACACTTTCATTTTGTCCATACCACTGGCAACGGCAATGACAAGTACTTCTCATACTGTGGTGACGTAATGCACTACTCATGAGGTTGCTGAAAATTATTTGATAGCACATGACCAGTTTTGCCCTTCTTGGGGCTCATCAGGTAAGCGCAATACACGAGTTTCCGTCAGTTTAATGTTCTACTTGAAACCAAATTGCACGAGATTAGCATAATGCACTTGAGTGCAAACAAATTCGGTTTTTTGGGAGACTCATCTGGAACCCAGCTAATCTCTCATTTATGATGTAATGACTTTTAAGATGGTTTAGATATCGTACCACCCGAAACACGAGGAGATCCGGTGCAGTACATCACAAATGAGAGATTCAGCTGGGTTCCAGGTGAGTCTCGCTAAAAAAAATTTTACAGCCAACAAAGCTTCGCACAGAAAGCGGGCCCCTAAACGAAACGTGTTCGCTTACCTGTAGGAAGGTGGCAAACGTTCCATTGTTAATTCGGGCATGTTTGACATACTTCTGACAGCGTGGCAGGTCGGAGCAATATTTTGGATAGGGCCAAAAGAGTTGAGGAATCTGCGAATGAATGGAATGGTTACAAGTGAGCTCGGAGATCTAGCACCGGTATGTACGAATGGTGTATCGCTTCTAGTAATAATAATAATAATAACAATAACAATAATAGTAATATTAATGATAATCACGTTGATAGCTAGTCAGATAATTTGGGATATGAAATCACAAAACAGAAAATTCAGGTGAGCTTGACTTCTTCAGTCAGATTAAATGCGCTAGTTACATTTGACAAGGAGCAACATAATTCAGCTGGGACAACTTATCTCCGGTCTACTGCCCCACCTTTGAATTTGGATCGATAAAGCCGTCGGTGCAAGCGTGACCTGACATGCGCTGATACTCCACTCAGGTTGCAGACAAAAAATGACTTGTGTGTCATGTACTCCCCATGTAGCATAACACAGTTGAGCTTGACCGAATGAATATATCCCTGGTTGCACCAATAAGCAATAATTTTTACACCCGAATAAAATACTATTCGTGTAATACGCAAAGCACGCTCTTTGTTAGAACAGAACAGTGTTTCTCCGGTCGACAGACTCTCACTACTAAATCCAGACTACGTCCGTTTAAATGGCAAGTACACCGAGATGACTCTCGGTCAGTCAAGAGGCTCTATATGCTTAGAACTTCGATACCTATAGGGCCAGATTCGATCATACCGTAGATTGAGTCGTCTTACCCTTGAGGTACAACGCCGAGAGCTCACGCGCTATTGCTTATAATCTGGCCTTTACAGGAGGATTGTATAGGATTATATTCTGATATCACGACCCTGGAAGAAGTTCAGTCATCCATTCTCATTCGAAGCATTCAAAAAGTACTTGTCGATCGATAAAACTGTACATGGCCACTAATTTCGCTCCGGCATGCGGTTCCGTATCGTGAGGGTCGTCTGGAACCTACTTCGTCGTCGCACGCTTTGGTTTGTCGCCCTTCAGTAATTGCTTGTGAAGTTAGCGCAGCGCTTCTCAGTATTTCGATAACTTTTGACTTGATATCACATTGGGAATTTTATCTAATCTGTCGAAGCCCTTGGCGCCTCAGTTCGATAGATTGCCCGGTCTTACGGGCAAAGTGGTTTGTTCCCGGAAACCGACCAAATAGGACTGGCTTCACCCCAGCAAAGCAGCTAGTTGTTGATGCAAAAAAGTGGGGTTTTATTAGGTTACCAATAGCATCCTGCACCGCTCTGTGCATAATTCATTGGACGTTCAGATATGCTCACGACGTACCGATCCACTATTTGGTTGGCTTGGTCAGCCTTTGTTTTCACCGTTGATTAAAACGGAGCATCGATCATTGAGCAACGGAAACCCGAGTTCTTCTTCAGTGACGGGGGCGGTTTCTCAAATCCTCATTACTAATGGCTACCAGCGTCATCAGATTGTAGGGCTCCGGCCTCCGGTTAGGTTCTGTGTGGCCTAATGACCCCATAAAGGCTGCATTGATTCCTCCTTGTGAACATCCACCCTGCCGAATATTGCCCATAATAGTGATAAGCGGGACTACTTGATCGCTGATACCACAAATAGAATAAGTTCCAGGATAGCTTAATGGGTGGTTTTTCCGTTGTCAACAGTTGATTTCTGTGTGCGGAATTGGACTTGTTTTCGAGAAAAGATTCAAGATGATTAGGTCGAATTGACGTGAGTTGTCGTGATATTCAATGGCCAACAACTCACTGCGGATAATGGGGTCAGACAACAATGGGCGACTACAGTATCAATCAAAATCCCTCGTCTCTCCGGAAACATAACCACTTCTATTAGTACTGCGATGTATCGATGAGATGACACGTGACTCACGGAAGCTGCATTGATGGATGGATGGATGGATGGATGGTTGGATGGATGGATGGATGGATGGATGGTTGGATGGATGGATGGATGGATGGATGGTTGGATGGATGGATGGATGGATGGATGGTTGGATGGATGGATGGATGGATGGATGGTTGGATGGATGGATGGATGGATGGATGGTTGGATGGATGGATGGATGGATGGATGGTTGGATGGATGGATGGATGGATGGATGGTTGGATGGATGGATGGATGGATGGATGGTTGGATGGATGGATGGATGGATGGATGGTTGGATGGATGGATGGATGGATGGATGGTTGGATGGATGGATGGATGGATGGATGGTTGGATGGATGGATGGATGGATGGATGGTTGGATGGATGGATGGATGGATGGATGGTTGGATGGATGGATGGATGGATGGATGGTTGGATGGATGGATGGATGGATGGATGGTTGGATGGATGGATGGATGGATGGATGGTTGGATGGATGGATGGATGGATGGATGGTTGGATGGATGGATGGATGGATGGATGGTTGGATGGATGGATGGATGGATGGATGGTTGGATGGATGGATGGATGGATGGATGGTTGGATGGATGGATGGATGGATGGATGGTTGGATGGATGGATGGATGGATGGATGGTTGGATGGATGGATGGATGGATGGATGGTTGGATGGATGGATGGATGGATGGATGGTTGGATGGATGGATGGATGGATGGATGGTTGGATGGATGGATGGATGGATGGATGGTTGGATGGATGGATGGATGGATGGATGGTTGGATGGATGGATGGATGGATGGATGGTTGGATGGATGGATGGATGGATGGATGGTTGGATGGATGGATGGATGGATGGATGGTTGGATGGATGGATGGATGGATGGATGGTTGGATGGATGGATGGATGGATGGATGGTTGGATGGATGGATGGATGGATGGATGGTTGGATGGATGGATGGATGGATGGATGGTTGGATGGATGGATGGATGGATGGATGGTTGGATGGATGGATGGATGGATGGATGGTTGGATGGATGGATGGATGGATGGATGGTTGGATGGATGGATGGATGGATGGATGGTTGGATGGATGGATGGATGGATGGATGGTTGGATGGATGGATGGATGGATGGATGGTTGGATGGATGGATGGATGGATGGATGGTTGGATGGATGGATGGATGGATGGATGGTTGGATGGATGGATGGATGGATGGATGGTTGGATGGATGGATGGATGGATGGATGGTTGGATGGATGGATGGATGGATGGATGGTTGGATGGATGGATGGATGGATGGATGGTTGGATGGATGGATGGATGGATGGATGGTTGGATGGATGGATGGATGGATGGATGGTTGGATGGATGGATGGATGGATGGATGGTTGGATGGATGGATGGATGGATGGATGGTTGGATGGATGGATGGATGGATGGATGGGTGGTTGGATGGATGGATGGATGGATGGATGGGTGGTTGGATGGATGGATGGATGGATGGATGGGTGGTTGGATGGATGGATGGATGGATGGATGGGTGGTTGGATGGATGGATGGATGGATGGATGGGTGGTTGGATGGATGGATGGATGGATGGATGGGTGGTTGGATGGATGGATGGATGGATGGATGGGTGGTTGGATGGATGGATGGATGGATGGATGGGTGGTTGGATGGATGGATGGATGGATGGATGGATGAATGGATGGATGGATGTAGCCGGAAGCTCAGTCTAACTGGCACGCTGGTGTTCCGCAACCTCCCCTTGAACACGCTTCAAAGTTCCTAAGAAAAATCCTCAGATTGATATATCCGTGCCATCAACCAGCCTGAGGGTACGGAGTACCATGTCTGAACAGAACAATTCCACTACGGCGGAAAGCGCGAATAGAAGAGACCTGTCCACAGGGTGCCACGCATTCACCAACGTAACTGGTCCACCCTGTGTACTCACTGTTTTCAAAAATGGCAATTTTTCAGTCCTGAAACAAATGAAATCTTGAGGTACCAGACTGTACAATATGGTCGCTGTTTCTACTTTCCGTCTTGGAAATTCTGGCCAACCGGAGAGTTTGATGCACATCCTGCAATCCTGTTGGATCGCAAGTGATACTTGTTGCACTTGCCACAGTAAAGTTCCGCGGAATCTTGTGAAAAGTCTTCAGTTTTTGAGGATTTAAGAGCATCTTCTCCTCGATCAGGCCTGATCTAGTTGCTGTGCTGCAGCGTCGAACAACGGTTGTGGATGCGAACACATTCACAGATAGGTGTGGATTTATGTCGTATAAGAACACGAAAGGAGGCATAAGTAATGAGCCGATAAACCTTCTCCCGATATCAACCCGGCCCTACGTGCCATTGACAGTGACGTTGATATTTGGCTTCAATATTCCTAGTTATTTTATATCGCCGTGTCTGCCTTTTTCAATCCACGGAGGATGTCGTGAAACTGAACTATTCTAATTTCAAACTGTGATTTATACTCTCTATGTACGCACGTGGCAACTGGGATTGTCGGTTTTTTCTTGCTAGTGGCCTTCACACCGGACCTTCTATTCTGAACACCTTATGAAAGATATGCAAATACCAGCACTTTCTGCTTTCTGAATATCAGCTAGCACTTCTGTCCCACCTTCACCTGCTAGCCTCCACTCGCGTGTTTCTAAATTTCATTTTGCAAAGACGATCTACCGCTTGTGACTGAGCTAGTTACGACTGCTGCTCGAGCGCTTCACACCTCTCAGTTTTCTTGTCTAAATTCCCTTAAGTACCTCTCATCTTTTTATGACTGTGATAGTTCTTTTCGCATGTGGCTCGTGCTAATGGTGAAGGGAAGAAGGCTTTCGCTGCGGAGTTATTCATTAGAAAATGCCAACTGATTAGTTACAGACTATTGGAAGAAAAACTCTCATATGCATCTTAATTACAGAAACTGAACATCCATCTTCTCTTGAACGCGTCCTCCTGAACTTTCCTGGATATTCATTGAATGTTGCTCAAGTCCGAGCAAATGCTACAAAGCGAGTCCACAAATCCGCAATAGGTCTCCGTTTTCAAGCGAATTTACAAGAAGAAGACATACTACTTGCATGCCTCCCTCATCAGTAGTATCACCATTATAAGGGTATCATTAGTTTAATCATTTGAACCAGTCGATGACAATCTACAGAGTAGGCCCAAAATAAATGTTTCTGATATGTGGAGCAACTTAGTCAGATTGCCATGGCTCAACTAATGGAACGTTCCGGGTCATGCAAGCGGCCCTTTGCCGACTGTTAAGCAGCAAATACGTTTATCAGGTTTGCTTTGATGTAACACCAATCGACATAACTACTCACAAGTAGAATATTTATGTTATCAATTATAGTTAACGATTTTAACAGGGAATCTAGCGATTGCACTCCTCTCTCATATTCGAAGATATTGATTATTTCCTCTCTTGAAAAGCACGTATACATAGGTGAAGATTTGCACATGAACTAAGTTAATTAAATCGATTTCAATACTTTGTCCAACCGGGTGTCTTGTGCAAAATATTATGGACTAACTTTAATAGGGCCGTTGTTGCTCAGGCGAGTGAACCTCCCTCTCAGTAAACTTTGGAAAAGCTAATCTAAGCTCCAGTATGACGACATTGCCAAGAAATTAACGTTATAGTGTGCTGTAATGGTCAAAACACCCTTGAATTTACACACCATGAGTAACAGGAATATTCACTTGTGTGCAAACTGAGTTGAGCAATAAATACTCGGGTTAACTGATTGCATCAGATGTCTGCTGGGCTCACAAATAGAGTTCAAATACTGCAGTAGATTCGATTAAAATCCGAAAGTTTGTAGTTCCAAAACGACAAGTCAAAAGTCAGTTTCTCTGGACCAACTGCTCCAATTGAGGTTTGGGGAAGCACTGCAAGGTTACATCTGTTCTAGTCACATCTTTGCGTCTTAAAAATAGACGTGACTTACTCGGGAGGATGGTAAGCATTATTTCATGATGTACATTTCTTTGCATGACCCTTTAGTGTTTTTTTTGAGTAACAGAAAAAATCAGTTGAAAATCTACGTTTTTTTTTTGAGTAACAGACAAAATCAAGTTGAAAATCTACACTGCGTACTCGCGCAGCGGTAAGAAGTAAACCAAACTGTCACACGCGTTATCTACGCAGGGGACCGGGCCGTCATCAACGCTGCAGCAGCCAGGTTCAAATGGCAAATTTCTGCTCACCGGACTGGATTTTAGGGATGTGCACATCCATGACCTTGATAGCGGCATAAATTGCAAAGCTTAAAGAACATGTGGAACACAAGGACCCCTGCTTTTTTTACAAAAATGCAAACATTTCAAATAATGTAGCTCACTTGAAGAAATCCTGGCTCCAGAATTTCGGCAGAAAGCAATTCCCCTGATTCCGACACCTTCCGATAAGCCTTGTGTAGATATCCGAACCAAAGACGCAGATTGGCTTGGTAGACCTGTTCCAAATTGCTGAAGATTTGTACAGGTTCCAAGTTCAAAAATAGTTTTTCTCGATGTCGGAGGAATGGAGCGATGTAATTCTGTGAGTAAGAATAAAACAGGTGAATTTGTTCAGTTGACGTCTTTGATGAGTTGATACGGACCCAATGCAAACTTCTCGCTATTTTCACGTTACTTATTTGTAGTAAGTAGTTGGACGTGAAGTCTGTTTCGATCCGATATCGTAGCAATCATGTCTCGATTATAAGTGTGTGTAAATCTCGCCCCATAAAAGAGAAGACATTTTAGCACTTAAATGTTTTCTAAACATGGAATTTCTTGCACGCCCAACTTGACTCCCTTACCTTTACAAAAACCCTGTCAAAGTCCGGAGGGTTTTCCGCTTGTCATGTGAAGTTAATAATCTTAACCCCTTGAGTCAACTTTGATTTGTCTTCTCCGACATCCGGCAGAACCAACCAGGTAGATCATATTTCATGCGCCCAGATTATAGCACTCCTACTCTGTCCATTTTCCATCAAAGATTCAAAAGTGATGTTGATCAAGGACAGCCCCTTTTCGTTTTCACACATTTATACTGAATATGTTTTTAGAGGCCATCTTCAGAATCTTTTTCGATCGATTGGTGGATTTGTGCGTTGTTCGAAGCAGATTCACCGTTGTCTATTCGGTAGTAACCGAGCCTAGAGGAATGAGCTATTGTTTAAGTATGACTGACTAACTCAGGCAACGACTGCTTACAGCATCCTCGTCATGCGTTCTTCATTAGCGATTAGCAATGTGCAATGATTAACAGGAGTAGAATACAGTGCAATTTCTTGGGTAACCTTGATAATTCATCAGCATTTGAGCGTAGCGATCAGTAAGAAATCTTCCGGGAAAGATCTCGAATTCACTTTGATTAGAAACATGTCAATGGAGTTCGCTTCGCTATTTTCATAAAAGGAACTACCCACAAGATTGCTGAAATTTCTGCGACAGACCAAGATCGGTTTCGTCCTTCTTGGAGCTCATCAGGTAGGCGCAGCCCCCGAGTTTCCGTCAATCGTATGTCTTATATGAACCCAAACTGGAATGATTTCGCTTCGCTCTGTTGCTTCCAATGCGAACGAGCTACGAAGAAAGGGTCTGTTTAGTTATGGGGGCAGGATGGATCAGTGGTGCCGCCATGGGGTGAATGTTGAGTCGACGAGACTATCAGCCTTTTCTCCGGCATTCTTACTTGAATGCTTAACTGAAAAGTTACACACAATGTATGATGGCTTAGTGGTTAGAGTGCGAATTTACTATCCGGAAGGTCCGTGGTTCGAACCTGACCTCTGCCTCTCGACCTCTCCCGTCTAGGTTTAGGCATTCTGGCAATATCCCAGCCCACGTGCTTCCTTCTGGTCGCATCGAGCCGATTTCGTTCCATATATGTCCAAAACTAACCATATCGTCAGTGACATAAATGCTTCACCAACCTCAAAATGTACCAAATGTTAGGATCGAAATCGCTCGCGGAAAATACAAAGTACGAAGGAATTTAGAACTCAAAGAAGCAACAACTGTTTAAGCAGACTTTTATGTAAAACTCTGCTGCTACACAACTGCCGCTGAGATGCTGAGACGTATACCCTTTTACTCTCGGCATTGCACCACAGTAATATGTACACCATCTGTAACCTTCCCGCCAAAATCAATATTTTTGATAAATAACCAGCTATTCTTATTTTATCAAGTTTCAAACACTGATCAGCTTGTTTCCCTGGAGCAGGAACCATGAAATCACTTAGTGCTTCGCATTTTCGGTTCTTCAAAGTTCGTATTATGTTAAAGTCTGTGTTTATTGTGCATTTCGCAACGAGTGACGGAAGCACGGTTAGAGTTCATGCGCACCCTTCGAAATAGTTTAATTGTTCGGATATGTTGCCTCGTTCAGAGACTACACACAGCCTCGTATGACTGACCCCAACTAGGAACAGTTTGTGTACTTATGCTGGACTTTCACTTTTAACAGGAGATGCATGACCTCAAGTTATACCACTGAGAAAATCCCAGAACAATGATAATGACTGGTGCAGCTGTTCAACTAGAGGAAACTTCTCCACTTTTATCATGCGGCATACTACCTTAAAGGCTCAAAACACCAAACGTTCAACAAGATACGGCCCTGCATTAGATGCATACATGATGATCCCCAAAAAGGGCGAAACCGAGCGTGGGCTGTGGACGAATTTTCAGCAACCTTATGAGTAGTGCATTACGAATGCACATGTATAGCGATATCTCGAATATCGTAGCAACTGGAACATGAGGTGGACTGGCGCAGCACATTCACTCGCCTGGTAACATCACAAATAAGGAATTCAGATGGGTTACGGATGAGTCTCTCACAATAACAAATTTATTTGCAAATGAGTGTATTTTGCACACATGATGCTGTTACATCACAGCACGCATGCACACACGCGCACAACCGCACAAAGCACAAGATAACACCTTGACTGATTAAGGAAACGGTTGTAAAATGCTACCATTCCCACTAGTGGTCTTCTGTGAAGACTGAGCAAACCTTTGAAAGAAAGAAGGCCTTCGCTGCGGAGGTATTAAAAAACGCCAGACAGGGAAGCAAAACTCTCATATGTATCTTGTTCACAAAAACTGAATATCCATCTTCTCCTCGAACGCGTCTTCCTGAACTTTCCTGGATATTCATTGACTGTTGCTCAAATGCAAGCAAATGCGACTCCACAAATTCCGTAATGGATCTCGCTTTTCAAGGGACGCGCAACGAATACACGAGAAAACATACTACTCACATGCCCAATGAGTAGTATCCACATTGGTGATATTTGTTTTCCTTTCTAACTTTCGCTGCACCAAAGTACGATAGGAGTCCATGCCATTCCTGTTATGCTGACAGACCTGATCTTTTTTGGACTACTTAGTATTATGCGCGAAATCCAATGAGTGATTTCCCATACGAGGATATATTTTTCAGTAACCCCTGGACGACAAGAAGGAGTAGTGAGTACAAATGGGTAGTGATACATTTGGAACAACTTGAGAAAAATCTCGTTCAAAATGAAACACTATCAGCCAGTAGAATTGTTTGTTTGAAGACTGCTGACTCGGCTCATGTCTTTCAGACAAGCCACCTCGCAGCCACGTGTTCACAACTGCGCAGTCAAATAAAACGGTACACAGGATGGCTGGAATGTGTTGATGGTAAGGAATATTGCATCACCCTGGCTTATTTTGTTTCTTTTCGCCAAAATAAATGCAAGACCCCGTGGTCACTAATCCTGTCCAATAACGAGAGTGCTGATTCACCCCGCGAACCAACGGTGACCAGCGGTAATTTTCCATGTTATCTGGCTACTCATAAGTAACCGGACTTACACCTGTATATTATGACGCCGTTTTGGTTCCTCGCTGCTCGTTTTCCCCCTGTTTCGTTCCTGCTTAAGATCTGCTCATTCTTCAGTAACTGATGTCAGTATTCTGTTTCCCGTCACTTGCAAGCTAGTCTCGATTTTACCTAATTTCCAGTGCCGCTCCGAAGGAGAAATGGATCGACGGACGGTAAGCGAACGAGCCGTCCACCACACCAGACTGACGCCAGGGAAGGCTTATTATTTTGTATTACCTATGTGCCGCACCTGTCAGATAGTTTTTGACGAGATCGTTTAAAACGGACGAAGCCGCGTAATCTGACTTGTCACGAGACACGAGCAGCCACGTCGAGCTGCAAACCGAAAGACAGTCCGTCACATCCCGAACGTACTGATTTTCAGCTCCGTTATCTCTCTATATACGGCCAACTCACACTGTCAGACTGCCGCTATATGTGTGTTTGCACATCTTTTGGTACTTACCTTTTGTTGCCTTTAAAAATCCCTGCTACTTCAGTGACTATTTTCTGCTCCTGCTGATTGCGTCATTATTGATTGTACGTTTGCTTAATTCGGGATGCCTACTAATCCGTTTGTCTGTAGAACCAGTTCCTGTCAGTCCTCAATATATCATCTGCTGCCCCACGTCTGTCTGCTCCTATTGACTACCGGTTACGAACTGCGTATAATCTAATAGCCTCAATCGTCCTGTGAGATTCATAGCCACTGGGATCTTACAGAGAGGTTCCGTTAAAATAGCGGTCCCCGAAATACCGCATTTTAGTTTATGAGTCATGTGAAAGGATGATATACAGACGTTTAAGAGAGGAATAGAAACCAGCTAGAAGCCATCGTGGGTCACACGACATTGGACAAATGATGATTATTGATAGTCCAAGAGGTAACTACCAAATTTGGAAGTTTCAGCACATGATTCAGCGAAGGGAACAACACTACGCAGAGAATGAAGTCTTTGTAAACTCACATCTAAAATACATCGCAGGTCATTGATGTATTTCAGTTCAGTGACCAATACTTCCCAAATCGCGGCCTGTTTCTTCATCTCCTTTCTGCTGAGTTCCTTTTTTGATAAAAAGTGGAAGTTATTAGGACTGTGAGTTAAAAAAAAACAGTTTTTTAAAGTAAAACCATCATTTGGTGGATACACAGAGTTTGATAAATGGCCGTTGTTCTGTTCATCGAGTTTGGTTTTGTCACCAGCTGAGAACTCAATGGCACGCAGCTATCAGCTTACTTCCCCCTTACCTGCTCATGTCAATATAGTTTTCAAACAGGAACTGATATTTTTCCATGCGACTTGCTTACTAGTATATACCCTTCCTGTGATCTTATTGGTTCGTCCGCAATCTATATTGCGTTGTGATTTGTCTTTCTCACATTCGATTCGATTTCCTAACATATAAACGAATATCTAGTCAACAGGCTCCAACAAACTCTTGCACCCGAGCCAACTGGAGGTCTCTCGATGATGAGTACAGCTGATCATCGGGGTCGCGTTGGTCGATACTGTGATTTATGTTGAATTAAATGCACTACTGAAAACACGCACCACCGTTCAAACACATTATTTGCACATTACCCGATTAGGTTTAACGATATCTTCCCAGTTTTGCTTGATTGAAAACAAACGATTTCGATATTCCGCAATCCGAGTTGCTGTCGATGGTTCATCTAGGCGTGGATGACTGCTGGACAGACGAGGAGAATCCGGTGTTGAAGCGTGAAAAATGGCGTCTGTTTCGGCACCGGACACTGCTTTGACCTCTTTGTCTCGCCTCCCTAATTTGCTTGGGCGTCGACTCGGCGGTGTGGTTGACGGAGGGTTTTCCAGGAGACAATTCATTTCGTACTTGTCGGCCAAGGTGACTTCATCCGGGACGGTTGATGCGAAATAACTGAACCAGTTGTGTAGTGAAACCATATTGTCCTGTTGAGAATTTAAAAGATGAGGCATTCTGTTTACCCAAAGTTTATCTTTTCATCACAGTAGCATGAAGTGGAAGGTTGCAGAAAAAAAAAGGAAAGAGCTCTTGCAAGTTACTCACGATTATTACGATATAGGTGCCAGTACTGGCTCTCAAGCTCAATCATGATGGGACGAGTGTTCATGCAATCAGCCTTATCTTCACAGTCAATTCGCCTCCAACCGTCTGCTTCTGCTGTGCCCTGTGCAGGTCGTTTCCTTCGTTCGTACCTGAGTTCACAATCCAGCTTAGACTAATTTACTTAAACCAGGACATTATAGGTCCTTTCGAAGGATGTTTGCTTCTGAAAATCAGTTCCAATATGGATATTTTCACAGATGCGAAGTCAAGTAATGCCGAAGAATGGGAGGCCTCATACATGCTCAACCACCAAATCTCTAGATTGATCTGGACTGAGAATCTTTCGGCTGACTGGCCAACGAGCATTGCGAAGATTCGGAGAATATTAGATGCTCGTACGGCTGCCTCCCAGTGAATTTGTATGCATGGTGAGGTCTTCTCGTTACCTTACATTTATAACGTTGTGCACAGAAATGACAACGGCTGGGAGCCTAATACGGAGGGGTCATTCGAACCGCATGACCGAGGGGCATTAGCGTTATGCCACTGAGGTAACTTTTCACCAGTCACTTTTATGATTCAGTGGGGTAATGGTCAACTGCTAACGGGCAAACCGTAGGTTAAAATTATCCCCAGGACTAAGAGATGTCTTAATTGTTGTTTAATCTCAAAACGAATAAGGCCTTCCCAACGTTGTTCCCAATATTTCCACTAAACTTTGAAAGTTTCCAATCTCCCGCATATTTATCCATCTATCTATCTATCTGTCTATCTATCTCTCTGTTTATCTATCTATCTATCTATCTATCTATCCATCTATCTATCTATATATCTATCTATCTACCTCTCTGTCTGTCTGTCTATCTATCTATCTATCTATCTACACCAAACTGATTCAGTTGAATAAATCTTTCTCAAACAACTCGTAAACAGTGCTCAATATCACTCGTTCAACATATCAGCAAGCAGCTTGATAGTCCGTCGCCTTTATTTGGCTATTAGCGAAAAGGAGAAGGCTTTTGCTGTATGGTTGTTGATAAGAGAAACACCAAGTTGACGGTTACAGACTATTGAACAGGGGAGCAAAACTTTCATATGCATCGTGCTCACAAAAACTAAATGTCCATCTTCTTGAACACCTCTTCCTGAACTGTCCTGGATATTCATTGAATGTTGCTCAAATGCGACCAAATGTGACTCCACAATTTCCGTAATAGATATCACTTTTGAAGAGACGCAAAGCGGATTTACGAGAAAACATGCTACACGCAAGCCTCATCAGTAGTATGCACCATTACAATAAGTATGTTTTGAATTTTCGAGTAGTTTCAAACTTTTCATTGCCGCTGTTCCTCTTCCAGAACTGTCCCTCACATTCGACACTGTCATAAAAGTTGCGCGACCGAAATTTCCGGTGTCGGGAACACAACAGGAATGTTATTGGGTAACAAGGCCAGGACACAAAATCATGGACAGGCTGAGTAACTTTCAGTGAGTAATTAGTCCTTCTTGAAGAACCTTCAACAGAAGGTGGATGTTCAGTTTTTGTAAATAAGATGCATCCTCCAGTACAGCTCATTGCGACAGTGAGACACACAAACCGTCACACCAAGGTAAGGTTCAGTTTCACCCAATACACAAAGCCGATGAAAGACGTTCACAAGCCTTTGAATTATCTATAGGTTTGTCAGGTATATTTTCAATATAACCAAGATGATGGATGTAAAGTTTGAAAGCTTGAGGTAGTCAGAGTAGTTCTTTGTAGACAACACCGTGGTAATGTGTTGAAATATTGGTAGCTCGGGGGAGTTTATTGGTTGTTGATCAGGTGGCTGTTGATATGGTCGGTGAAGTTGGCAACTGACTTCCAAATGTTTCGTCACCATACGATGAGATGCCATCAGCGCGCAGTTAGGAGGTTACTTCCTCCTTGACTGTGTGCGCCTATATAGCATTCGAAGGCTAGGTGTTTTCCTCTGGCGTGATTGACTACTTGAAGTTTATCGAATTTAGTGAATCTATTGGTCCGTTTGCGATCTTTGTTGCGTTGTGGTTTGCATCCCTTTGTGCTGAATGGTTATCCCAACGTCTTCTAGTTTAAGTAGCTTGTTCTCTCTGGCCTTGATTCA